CTGCTGAAGGGAGACAGCGCAGCTGGCACACAGGTGAGGGAGGCACGGGAACTGATGGATAGGGATAGACGGATGGACAGGAACCTCAGGGACTCACAGCAAGGACGAACTTCTGGTCAATGTACTTCTTGGCAATGTTTGGCTGGAAATCAGGAGACTCGAGGAAACGTAAGAAAAACTCATACACGAGCTGTGGAAGAGAGGAACCTCCACTGAGGGCGTACTCTCCACGGACTGGGAGACGCCCTGCGCCGCAGGCCTCACCGTGCCCCCACCCCTGCCGCCACGGCCCACCTGCCCCCTTGCCCTGGTACCTGGAGATGTGGCCATGCAGCTTCCAGCGTGGGCTCGTCTTCCTCTGGGTCAAACTCGGCCCCTGTGGGATTTGATGAAGGTGGCAGTGTCCGGAAGAGGTTCACTGAAAACTGAGGGAGAGGGCCAAGGTCAGCGCTCCATCCAGGCCTGCCTGGGCCCCGTGCCCCTGCCCCCCGTGCCCCTCCCCTGTGCCCACCATGGTGACGGCCTCAGGGTAAATGGCCTCAGTGACGACGTCGCGGCTGTGGGTGATGTACTCCACCATCTCGTTGAGTCCTGCCCTCTTCACCTCTTTGAACTTGAGGTCGCTGAGCGGGTCGGACACGAAGTCGAAGAGGACGCAGCACTGGCGCAGCTTCTGGATGAACAGCTCCTCCCGCTCCTGGGTTGGCGAGTCTGCAGGGCCCCGCGGTCAGGTCCTCCTCTGCAGCCCTCACTGTCACGCCTACTTGCCTTACAGGGCTCTCCCAGACCCCGCCCCACCGCCATCCTTCTCCCTGGCACTCCCAACCACATACTCCAGAACTCTCGTCCCCCAGTACCCTAAACCTCCATACTGCCCATGCCCAGTGCCCAGGCCTGGTACACAGCAGCTCTGCTTGCAAGTACCTTTCAGGGCAGGAAGCTTCTGCAGCTCCCGGTTCTTGCTGAGGTTGAAGCGGGAGGAGCTTTGCCGTCGCTCCTTCTTGACAATCTGAGGCCCTCCTGAGTACTTGATTTTGCTGAGCTGCGTGGGGGGCGGTGTGCTGTTGCTGGGACGCTTGTTGGATGACTGCGGCTGAGACTGGGGTTGGGGCTGGGGCTGGGCCTGGTCAAACAAGGAAGCGGTTGAAGTCCACTCCCCCAGATGTCTCCCACCCTGGCAGGCCACCCCGCTACCCGTTGGGTTATGCCTGCACAGGCCTGGGCAGCTCCCTCCTGTCCCAGGGGAACTGAGGCCGGGCCCACAGAGATGACTGTACATTGCAGCTCTGGAAGGGAGCAGTCGAGAAGTCAGTCCTGTCTCCCAAAGTGATGCCCACTGCCTGGACATTAACATGTGCACCCCAGTTTATGGTCAGGCAAACCAACTGATGGACAGATGGTGACAGTAGTCAAAAGAGTGGGAGACCAGCAGATGGTGTAATGATTACGTCGCTAGACTCCCATGTAGTTGACTGCAGTTCGAGTCCCAGGCCTGGTGGCTTAAATCTCACACCAGGCACATGTGCGTGCGTGCCCAAAACCCCAAGAGGAGGATGGAGGAGAAGGGATTGTGGTATGGCCATCCCCCTGGGGGGTGATTTCTCAATTTCTGTCTCTCTGTCTCTCCAGTGAGCATATGATGTGCCCTATAGCAAAAAACTATCTCAAAAAATAAAGAGAACAGTTACCTTGTCAGGACAGGGGTAACAGTGGGGAAGGGGGTTCAGGTACTGACTGAGAAGAGACATAAAGAACTTTCTTGGGATGGAAATATTCCGTATCCTGACTGGGATAAAAAAACCTGAAAATTCCCTGAACAGTAAAGCTAAAATGACTACTCAATGTGGAACATTCTTCAATGAAAGAGTAAAAGAAAGAAATGTATTCCCGTATCTCAGTAGTTTAACTACGAGAAATTCACCTTAGTAAACCCCTAAATTTAGGGCCAAGAGATGGCACAGAGATTAAGGCAGCTGGGTCCTGCATGGCCAACTGCGCGGTTTGAGTCCTGAGTCCAGCAGCTTGAAAAACAGGCCAGGCACATGTGCATGCCCAAGACTCCCAGAGGAGAGGGGAGGAGAAGGGACTGCAATGTAGCCATCCTCCCTGGGGGGCGCTTCCTCACTCCTCCCGCCCCTTCCCCCTGCTGGCCCGGGCTCTATGTCCTGTGAGTGCACACATTCTATAGCAAACAAACAAACAAACAATCCTATAGTTCACAAAAAGCTTTTGGCCTGGTCCCATAGCCCAGTGGTTAAGGGAGCCACTTCCCACATGGCTAACTAGCAGTTCAAATCCTGGTCCTGACAGCTCGAAAACCATACACTGTCCCAAATCCTGATAGGATGGAGACATGGAGGAGAAGGGATTGTGGTGGGGCCGTGCCCATAGTACTTTCTCCCTCTCTCCTCTATCTGTGTCTCTCTCTTTTTATTTAATTTTTTTGAGAGTTTTTGCTATAGGGTGCGTGCGCTCGCCAGACAGACAGAGAGACAGAAAGCGAGAAATCACCCCCCGGGGGGATGGCCACGCCACAATCCCTTCTCCTCCATTCTGCTCTCGGGATCTTGGGCATGCACACACACGCACCCGGCATGAATCTGTCTGTATCTCTCTGGAGTGAGTGCACATATCCCCTGTCAACTAAAAGAAAAGGCTTTGTGTGGAAATACATTTTTTTGTAGAGAGATTTTTTTTATATATATATAGGGCTCGTGTGCTCACTGGAGAAAGCAAGAAATCACTGCCCCAGAGGGATGGCCATGCCACAATCCCTTCTCCTCCATTTTCCTCTTGAGATTTTGGGCATGGACGTACACATAAGCAGTCTAGGTCCAGGACTCACCAGGTCCAGGACTTGAACCGCCATTGACTACATGGGAATCTAATGATGTAACCATTATACAATTTGCTGGTCCCGTGTGCAAATACTTTTAACTGCTTCATTTATAACAAGGAAATGAATGGAGTATCATGGAGCTTAAATCATGATTGCGGGCCAGCAGTAGCATGGTGGTTAAACTGCTGGACTGCCACATGGTTGGCCAGTGTCTCTCAAATAAAAAAAAACTGTTGGGGGACCAGCAGTTAGCGTATTGGCTATGTCACTGGACTCCCACGTAGTCGACTGCGGTTCGAGTCCCGGCCCCGTGGCTTAAAACTCACGCCGGGTGCGTGTGCGTGCGTGCCCAAGATCCTGAGAGGAGAATGGAGGAGAAGGGATTGTGGTGTGGCCATCCCTCCTGGGGGGTGATTTCTCACTTTCTATCTCTCTGTCTCTCTCTGCCTGTCTGGCGAACGCACACGCCCTATGGCAAAAAAGCCTCTCAAAAAAAAAAAAAAATGTTGGGACCAGCAGATGGCATAATGGTTACTTTGCTGGTTCGACTACAGTTCGAATCCTGGATCAGGTGGCTTAAAACACACCGCATGTGTATGTGCGTGCCCATCCCCCTTGGGGGTTGATTTCTCGCTGTCTCTCAGGTGAGTTCATATGCCCTATAGCAAAAATCTCTCTCTCTCAAAAAGAATTGTTTATGAAGTGTGCATCATAAATATAATTACACAGGGTTCTGCTGTCAAAATTATTTACATAGTCATCATAATTTACCCCAAATTGGAGATAAATCTTTTGGGAGGGGGGGAAATGCCTGCTCAGAGGCATAAAAATGCTGAGACCTTGGGACAAGCAGTTGGCATAATGGCTACATCATTGGACTCCCCTGTAGTCGATCGCGGTTCACATCCCGGACCCGGTGGCTTAAAACTCACGCCAGGCGCGTGTGCGTGCGTGCCCAAGATCCCGAGAGGAGAATGGAGGAGAGGGGATTGAGGCGTGGCCATCCCCTCTGGGAGGTGACTTCTCGCATTCTGTCTCTCCATCTCTCTCTGTCTTTCTGGCGAGCATACTTGCCCTATAGCAAAAACCTCTCAAAAATAAAAAAATGCTGAGACCTTAATTCTTCTTCTTCTTTTTTTTTTTTTTTGTAGGGTTTTTGCCATAAGGCATGTGCACTGATTCACCAGGAGAGAAACAAAGGCAGTGAGAAGAAAAATGAGAGATCACACTCCAGGGTAGTGGCCGTACCATAATCCCTTGTCCTCTCTCAGGATCTTGGGCCTGCACATGCACGTGCCTGGTGTGATTTTCCAGCCGCCAGTTCTGGAATTCGAACCAAGATCGGCCATGTGGGAGTCCAGCGCCTTAACCATTATGCCATCTGTTGGCCTCATAGCCTTAATTCTCTCTTTTTTTTGCGCTATAGGGCGCATGAACTTGCCAGAAAAATAAAGAGAAACAGAGAGAAAGTGAGAAATCACCTCCTGGGGGGACGGCCACAATGCAATCCCTTCTCCTCCATTCTCTTCTTGGGATCTTGTACATGTGCCTGGCGCAAGTTTAAGCCACCAGGTCCAGGACTCAAACTACAGTTGACTACATGGGAGTCCAGTGACATAGCCATTATGCCAACTGCTGGTCCCTGCAGCCTTAATCTGCCAAAATATAAAGCTAACAGAGGAATCAGCAGATGGTGTAAAGGTTACATCACTGGACTCCCACGTAGTCAACCGTGGTTCAAATCCTGGAACCAGCAGCTTAAAACTCACACGAGGTGTGTGTGTGTATGCCCAATATCCTGAGAGGAGAATTGAGGAGAAGGGATTGCGGCGTGGCCATCCCTTCTTGGGGGGTGATTTCTCACTTTCTGTCTCTTTAGTGAGCACAGGCACCCTATAGCAAAAATCTCTCACTAAAAGGAAAAGAGAACTGCTGTAAACAGCTGATTTGGAAATATAAAAGTTGATCTCAGGGGAAAGAGCTAAGCGCTGACGGTTTGGCTGTGATAGCAAGCACTGGATGCTGTGCTTGTTCATCAGTGGCAGTTCGATTCCCACTCCACCCTACAAAGCCAGGTGGCACACACCTATTGTCCCAGCTACTTCCGGAGGCGGAGGCACAGTGAGATCCTAAAATACCTTCCCCACACACACATCCAAGAGCTAGGAATCAAAACTGGCCGCACAGAGGAAGGGGGAGAGCGGGGCCTGGGGCGGGGGCTGCTCTCTTCATTACAAACCCTAGGTCGGCTGACTTTCTCAACAATGTACATATTATCACACAGATAGAAACTTAAACAAACAAAAGCCTAAAACTGCCTAATGACAGAAAATTGCTTCCTATGCTAAGTTAAATAAGGATGATGCAAAACTATATATGCAAAATGAGCTCACCCACATTAAAACACATGCCCAGAACCCAAAAGTAGGTTCAGAAAACCGAGAACAAGAGTAAGTCCACCATTGTGTTCATGACGGTCTCCTGTAGTAGAATTGCAGATGACTGTCCCTACTTTCCTACATTTTCGACAAGCTGGCACTATGTTTATAAAGAGAAATACAGCTCGTTCCAGAGCAGTCCCTTTTAAAACGGATAGTTCCCAGCCCTGAGTGTCAGAGCCCCAAGAAGCCCATTTGCAGAAGGCTAAACAAAGGTATTTCTGGACAAAGGTAACCTCACGCTGGGAGAGAAGAAAGACTGAACCGCAGGATGGCCCTTCCCCACTCAGGCTGCAACAGAATTGGCGGTGAGGCCACGTCCAGCTAGGTACCTTCACCCCAGGTAAAGACTTCACAGCCACCATCCCCTCTCCTGTCTGGGCCCCAATCCCAAACGCTTACATCTGAAACCATCTGGAATGGGGAAGGGACAGAAATGCTATCCTTTATATAATTCTATTTTCTTTAAAGAGAGATTTTTGCAATAGGGTGTGTGCGTTCACCAGAGAGACAGAGAGGGGCAGAGAAATAGAAAGCGAGAAATCAACCCCCAAGGAGGATGGCCATGCCGTAACCCCTTCTCCTCCATTCTCCTCTTGGGATCTTCGGCACACACGCATATGCAACCGGATGTGTGAGTTTCAAGCTGCCAAGTCTGGGCTCAGACTGCAGTTGGCCATGGGGGAGTCCAGCCACAGAACCAGCCATCCACTGACCCCCTTTTTTTGTTAACTGTGAGAGAGCACGTGTGCTGGCCAGAGAGACAAAGGAAGATGAGGAAGAAAGCGTCCATGATGGAGCATGATCACGCGGCAATCCCTTCTGCATTTTTCCATCCGATAGGGA